TTAAAATCGCCAAGCAGAATCAGCTTGTCTGTGCGGTGCACTGACGATAGCAGAGTATCTAGTTCTTCGTAGAATTTATCCTTCACATCCTCTGGGTTGGTCATTGTAGGAGCATATGCGCTGATCAAAGTAGCTTGTTTTCCTTTTTGAAGCGGAAGCTGCATTGTCATGAGCCGGTCATTCATACCCTTGGGGGGACCTGGCAAGTTTCCGAACAAGATGATTCTTGATGGCGAAGCCAACTCCAGATTCGCGACTCTCATCACTGCTGCGGCCACTCCAGAAGAATGTATAGCCACCACCTGACTCGGATAGCTGTCCTTCATTAGCAAGGCAAGTTTCGCTAAGGGCTGCAATGTCAATGTTGTAGCGTGCAACAGAGGGTCCTGTGGCACCTTTGAGACTAACAGAAGTATTGGGAGCATAGCGTGCGAGCTCTCTAGCGACAAGTGCTATTCTTCTCTCCGGTCTGTCTGCCGTGATGTTGTCCAGTAATGTGCGCACATTCCATGTGCCAATAGTGATCGGTGTCACTCTAAGTTTTGTTTTTGTTTTTGTTCGACCGCTTTTATGGGATCCCCGCCAGCTGCGGTATGCTGGCCAGGGTAAGGTGAAGCAGGCAATGTTTAGGGCACCTTTTCTAGCCCCCTCCTCATTCTACGGAGGTGAGCAGTGCAATCCTGAATAGGGCTGCTCAGTCGCTCAAGAAGATGCCAAGCTCCACTGCTGCTTCGGTCAGTGAGGAACGACCATTATGCCTGAGCCGCCTATGTGCAGGTCCGCAGCTACAGCTCCCAGTGTATCCACACCTGCTGCTTCGTCGCTCGCCCATCGCCACAGGACTTGATATAATGTGATATGATATGGAGATATCCTATCTCCTAGAACTGGAAGGGACCTTGAAAGGTCATCGAGTCCAGCCCCCTGCCTTCACTAGGCAGGACCAAGTACTGATTTTGCCCCCAAATCCCTAAGTGGCCCTCTCAAGGATTGAACTCACAACCCTGGATTTAGCAGGCCAATGCTCAAACCACTGAGCTATCCCCTCCCCGACATCATATGATATGATGTTGAGACTTGCGCGTGAATTGGATTAAAGTGAGGGAGAGTTGCGCAACGTCAGCCTCACTCTCTCTTCCCAGTTCCTATCTGTATCCACTGGCAGGACAGAAGTCGAGACCGCTGGAGATAGGACAGGGCGCAGTGGATGACCAGGACGCCTACGTGTCTTGTCGTGCTCTTAAGCGTTCCACAACACTTGCTGTCACCGCCTTCCTGACCATTGAACCAGGTTGAACCAGGTTGCCTCAGTCAGCCGGATCCAGCCTTCACATGCAATGGGTAGACAGGCCCTGACTCACCGAGAGTCTCATACTCATCAGCTACCCTCACCTAGTTTAGCCCGCCAGTCGAGACGGTCTCCGGGGTGTGGCCGCTGTCGCATGCTGACAGCTACTTGGAGCCACAGGTGAGAGCTGGGTGTCAAGTGGGGACCAAAGTGGATGAGCTACTCCTAGGAGTACGACTGCTCCCCCATCAGAGGTACAACCCCTCCCTGACAACCCCATACACCCCTCAATCGACTTACACCACAGTAAAAAGCACTGCAGAAAAAGGGAAGAGGCATGCAGAAAGAAGAATGCTACAATTTTCCAGTTGATGATGGGCACGGTAATTTCAACATTAAGGAGTTTACATAAGATTCTCGGCAAATCAGCAAGTCATGCTAAGTTTCCTTGCTAAGCCTAGGTGGGGCGGAGCATAAGACAAGTTCTAGTAATGTTCCCTCCTCGTGTTGTACTTCCTCTCTCCACAACCAGGAACACTGCAAACAGCGGAAAAACAGCTGCTGTTCTCTTCTGAAGTCTCTGGCTTGATCAGCTTTCCCTTCAAACTGCACTTGTAGATCCTCCACTCCCTAGGAATGCCCCAGTTGCTCCTGAGGTGTGTGGTCTGCTCTGTTCATACCCATCCAACCATTCCAAACTGAGTAGTTTATCTTTGCTTGGCCTAATGGATGGGGCACTGGGCAGGGAGTCAAAAGACCTGTGTTCCATCTGTGCCATGCCTCTAGCTTGCTGCCTGAATTTCAGCAAGTCTGTTTCCCCTCCCACCTTTTGTCTTTTTAGAATGTAAACTCCGTGTGGCAGCAATTATCTCTTAGCCTAATGAGACATACTACGTAGGTGTATGTATAGCACCTAGCCTAATGGGGCCCTGATCTTAGTTGGCTGCCCTAGGCACTAGTGTAATACTCTATAAATAATAATCCAGTCCAGGTTGATTTTCTGGTCTGGAATTATCAGCCCTCTCTAGCACTTGGAACAGGATCAAGCTGTGGAAGAGCTCAAAGGATTGAAAAAGAAGAGAGGGACAATGGATGGGCAAGAAATAGGAGAAAAAGAGAAGACATACAGCAGAAAAGTGGAAGAAGAGAACAAGGAATGGCTGGAAGAAGAAAAGAGAAAACTGGAATTGGCGCGTTTGCTTTTGGGTTTTTAAAATTCAATATGGTATGGAAGAAGTGGTACTTAAATGAGTGGCTCGGCTTCTCCTCTTACTTATCCAGTTTTGCACCATTGTAACTCAGATTCCACTCTTGAGTTACAGAGTCAGCCCCACTCATTGGCCATCTGCACTCATTCCACGCTCAATATACAATTCCATGCTACAGATGCTGTAGATTTCAGTGTGATAAAGTACAGAGGTGGACTGGAAACTCTGTAGCAAAGTGGAACAGAAGTCATGAATGGTTTCAATACCCTACTAATATACTAATTGCAGTTCTTGGTTACAATATAACCTCTGCTTAGAGGATGAAGGTCACACGAGCACAAAAGGGCCATGCACAACCAACTGAGCCACTTAATTCATATACCAAGGCCTTAAATGGTCTGGACAACCTGAGGTGGGCCCTCTGTATTGGGGTGAATTTTACCTGGAGTGAAAAAAAATCACTTCAGCTTGGGCCAAATGCTGCAGCGTCTCTTCAGAAAAACAACCCTTGAAATCAAATGGGTGTTTTGCCACAGTCAGGACTGTATAATTAGGCCCCCGAAGAGGTTTCAATATACACAAGAATGCTGCATTCATTAAAACCAAGGAAACTTTCATCCCAAGGCACTACGCACAGCTGACATGCAGCCACTTCTGGGATGGAAGGTGATAGTCACCTGGCACATTGCCCAGGAAAATTTTGGCCAAGCCATTATTCTTACCTTCAGCACCGTGGGCAACCTTCCTGTCAAGAAAACTGCGTGGAACTCAGATAAGCTGCTAGGTTAATGCTGCAGAGATTTGAAAGTGTGGCTTGGGCGGGGGTCCGGCCAGCCTGGATTCCAGACCACTAAATCATCCAGCTCCATATTTGTATGTCAGGCATTTGTATTTATTTATATGAGTATTTATATTCTGCCCCATGGCTTAGGGAGGCCTTTAGAGGGTGAAATAATGTAAGATAGTGTTCTTGTGCATTTCAATTCCTGAATGCTATGTATACCCTGAGAGTAGCAGATTACTTGTAACTTTGGCCCTATAAATGTTCCCCCGCTGCAGTGGGAAAGACTATAAAACCCACTATAAGACTATAAACCTGGCATTGGCTCCTGTTGAAAGAGAGGATACTGGGCTAGATGGACCTTTGGTCTGACCCAGTATGGCCATTCTTATATTATGTTAAGTAATTAGGCAAGACTCCATTGAAGTCAGTGGAAATGCTCCCATTTAGAATAGCAGAGAATTTGGCACAGATACTTAGTTTTGTTGAAGTTCAATGGAATACTGCTCTTTTTAGCTTTATGCAGGAGCCAAATGCATACGTCAAGTGTCCTTCTCCCTGCCTCTCCCCCCAGTCCCTTAGCATCTTTTTTTTAAAAGGAAATATTTATAGCTTTCACACGTTGTCCTTCCAGAAGGCTTCCCTTCCTAAGAAGTTTGTTTTGTGTTAAGGGTATCTCTGCTTTTCTCCTCAGTCCTGCGCCACAACACAAAATATATTAATGTCTTATATATTCAGGCCTCCTGCTGACGCACTGAAGACTAGAATTGATTGGCAAATAGTTCCCCCTGCCCCTCACAGACTTTTCGGCAAAATATCGAAAACCAACATATTTTACCAAAATTTTCTACAGGAAGAAAAAGCACATACTTAAAAAAAAAAACAAGGAGTCTGGTGGCACCTTAAAGACTAACTTCAGGTGCATGGAGTAAAAGTTACAGGTGCAGGCATTATATAATGACAAGAGAAGGGAGTACCTCACAAGTGGAGAACCAGAGAGGGAAAAAACAATCCCTTGAAGGGGAAAACCCAATTTTCCATCATAAAAAACAACCACCCAAAACCCATTTCAATGGAAAAGTTTACAACCTGCCCTAGGGCAGACGCTTCTATTTCAGGCCCTTACTTATGCCCTGAAGTCTCTAAACATCTAGGTCTCTTGCAGGGAAGAGCCTGATCATGCATTACAGCTATGGTGACCAGACAGCAAGAATGAAAAATCAGGACGGGGGTGGGGAGCAATAGGAGCCTATATAAGAAAAAGACCCAAAAATCGGGACTGTGCCTATAAAATCGGGACATCTGGTCATCCTAACATGCAGGTCTCCTGCCTGTAGCCCACTCCTGTTCTTCAACTCTTGCATGCAACTCTCCTGCTTCTAGCCCATCCCTGTCCTCCAGTTCTTGCCTTGACGCCCCTGCCTGTTGCTTCCCCACTGCCCCCTCCCAGGTCCTGCACCACAGACCCCGCCCCCTCCTCTGGCATTTGCAGCTGCGCCTCTGAGCCACCGCGGGCTCCTTGTGCCATTGCAGCCGGGAGCTGACATCAGAATGGAGGGGAGCGGCCCCTTCCAATCAGCGCCCAACCTAGCCTCTAAGCCGGGCTGCCATTGGCGGAAGGAGCTCGGGGGCGTGGCCCACGCTAGGGGGCGGGGCTCTCTAAAAAGTGAGTGAACTTTCTCTTCCCTCTCCCCGCCCGCTCGCGCCTCACTTGTTTGCGCCAATGGAGCTGAGCTGCGGCCGGCCCGCGGCGGCGCTGCCCGGGATGGAGGCCGAGAGCCCGGGCGAGGACTACGAGAGCCTGCCCACCAGCGCCTCCCTCTCCACCCACATGACGGCCGGGGCGGTGGCCGGCATCCTGGAGCACACGGTCATGTACCCTGTGGACTCGGTCAAGGTGCGCGGCGCTGCAGGGCGCGGGCTGGGGGTGCCCCTCACTGGCCTGGGGCCACTTGCTGCTGTTCCCTGGTGCATGGGGGCACTTGCCGCTCCCCCGCCCTCATGGTGTGTCGCTTCCCTCGGCGTTATTGCAAATGTGGTGTGCGTGTGTCCGTGCAAACGTGCTTCTTTGCCCGTGTATTAGTGCAAGCATTGGGGTGAGTGTGTTCCCGTCTTTCGTGTGTGTGGGGGGGGGATTGCAGTTTCCTCTGTCTTGGTGTGAGTGCTCCCTTTCCCTGCCGGTTGTTACATCTATGGGGGAGTGAGTGTGCTTTCAACTTTCCAGTTGAAAATGCGCGGGGCTGCTGCTCTCCACCCCCAATCTCCCCTCTGCATGATGCCTCCTCTTCTTATGTGCCCTTGCGTAAGGGGGGGGTACCCCCCGCAGCCCCTTCTGTGTTGTAAATAGGTGAGCATCTGTTGTTTCTCCCTCTGTGTTATTGTGGGGTAAGATAGAAGTTTCTCAGCCTCCCCCACCCCGCTTCCTTTCTGTCCTATCGCAAAACTGGGGCACATGGGGCATCATGGCCCCTCGTGGTTCTGTGCCATAGAATACCAAGTGGGCATGGGGCGTGACTGCAGCGTCTAGTAGTAAACTCAAGAAAGCTGTCAGCCTGCCTGGGAAGGGCTGTGTATCTTGGACTAATGCATGTGCTGCTCTGAACATGTGTGAGAGCTTCAGAAAAGAGCATGCAAGGCAGGGAGGGTTGCAGCTCCTGCACTGTGATCTGCAGCTGCAGCCTGAACCACGGTGCAAAGGGCTGTTGATCCTGCAACTGCATTTTACTCTTCTCTTACTGACTTTGAAGGGGCCCAAATAATGGGGAGGATGTCGCAGTGCTGTGTCTGAGGAGCAGGTGAGTGCAGCTTGGCTCACTGGAGCGGTAAAAGTCCATATTGTGTCATGCTCCTGCTTCACTTGCATCAGGGAAGAGGTGGTTTGCCTTTAAGTGTCACATTAATAACTTCGGTTGTGTAACCAACAGTGAACCTGTCTGTGGAACCTGTTGGATCCCTTTTCAAGGGCGTCTTAACATGTTCTGCTTGCAGAGAAATCTTGTAAAGAAGGTGGTAGTACCAGCTGATGATATTGGTTTAGGAGTTCCGAGGAGTCTGTTTCTCCAGGATGCTTGACATATGAGCCCAGGTTAGAGTGATCCAGGTGAGGGTCAAAAGTGGTGGGTCAACAGAAAGGAGCCAGAGCAGAATCCTTGTTTAAATGATGGGTGCACTACCTGCAGCCGGTGGAGCATTAAATACAGCCTAGCACAACCCTCTTTGCCCAGCATGAGGGCAGAGTTTGATTAACTGATCTCAGTGGCCAAGTGCCATCTCGTCCACTGTGGAGGAAGGTAAAACTATTAGCTAACACTGCGGTTGTATGCGTTTAGTTCTGACTTGTACAAGCCTAGTATACATGTACATGTATGTGCCCGTCCAGGCTGGCTGCTGACTTCTGACAAGCTGCTAATAATACAGCAGTATTGCTAGGAAATAGACCCCTGTTTGTGCTCCGGTCTACTCCAGTGGAAGTTATCATGTATGTTAGGACACTGAGGTTATTATTAACACCTCTATAAGAATGGAAGATTTGAAAGGTGTCTGAGGTTGTATGGATCTCGGAGTAATTATTTTGACTTCCAAAACTTGTTCTTGACTTCTGTTTAATTATATATCCATTCTCAAATAGACTGTAGCTTAAAATCAGCCAAAAAAAAAAAAAAGGCTATAAAGACTGCAAACAGTGTGATTTGTAAATGACAAAGACCTTTTAAGAGGTGCGTCAACATTTTGACACAGTGGATTTAGTGAGCAGGCAGGCTTAAGAATAGGAACAAAACAGGGGTAATGAAAGCTGGCAGAATTCTCCTGGCCCCAGATTTCATTGCAAATCCCAGTTCGCTGAAGGTTTGCAAAGCTGGGCCAGTGTATGGCTTTTGAGTGGAAAAAAATGTGAAATTGATTAGCTTCATATGGTGTTTGTCTGAAACCAGACAGAACTCTGCAGTGACCTAGAACTCTGCAGTGAAATTAGTGGGTTGCAAATGGACACATCTAACACAGCTCTGTGCATGACATCAGCCAAGTCCAGTGCAAAAGTAAAAAACTTAATTGGGAGGCTCAACTTGCTTACAACAGTGGCCTGGGACTAACTGTCTGTCCTGAGAGAGAGGATGGCCTTGTGGTTAACTGGGCATTAGGATCCCTGGGTTCTATTTCTGGCTGTGCTGCAGGCATCTTCTGTGGCCTGGTGTAAGTGTCTTAAGGTAGGTCTACACGGCAAACAAGGCAAAAAACAGCCCACGGCAGTGGGTCTGAGAGCTTAGGTCAACTGACTCGGGTTTGCACTGTGGGGCAAAACATAGTAGTGTAGACGTTCCCTCCCCCCCTCCAGGCTGAGACCTGGCTCCAGGCTGAAGACAAACATCTATACTGCTAATTTTGCCCCGTAGCATGAGTCCGAGTTAGTTGACCTGGGCTCTGAGTCTTACTGCTGTGTCTCTCTCTTGTGTTTTGTTTTCTGTTTTGTGGTCTGTTTTCCCCATTAGTCACATGGGGATAATATCTACTTCGCATATGGCGTGAGGCAAACTTGTTAATATTGTAAATCTGTGAGGTCAATGCACAGAAGTAGCACTTATTGATCAGGGGTAAGAATATATTGTACAGAGTTGCTAGTCTTGACATCTAGTATGTCTTATGCCCCAGTATTCCTAAGTACATAGTTTGATAAACCCCCCTATAATAGTAGGACATGTCACTGTTAAGAGGTGGATTGTTTCAAAATAGTCCACTAAGCTTTCTTTCCTTTGTCAAACAAATGATCCCTGCCTTAGTCACTGTAGCTATCTAGAAGCACATTGTCCTAATCATAAGTTAGAGATGGCAAAGACCTATTAGGCCCTGTAGATTGTAGGTTCTCAATGTGGGAGTTGGGGTTGCCTGGCTTTTCCCATCTTGCCAAATGGGAGAGGGATCGCAAGTAAATTTTGATATGGAAAGGTTGGGAGCTGATACTCTAGTTTATTTCCTGTATGTGCAGGGCTGTTTGAAACCACAGTAGAAGGATGAGTTTGGAGGGAAAGGGAGGAAATTCCAGCATCAGACACTGTTAATGTGCAAGACACTTCCACGCTGACAGATAAATGTACAGAGAATATTCCTATGCCTGTTCGTTCTCCTCTTATTTCTGACTTCAATTCTAGTAGGAGTATCTCATGATGAGCCAGGTGCTTTTGGTTCTTTCGTGCAACCTTTTGAGGTCACTGAATTGTGCTGGATTAAAAATGCTGAAGCATGCTTTTTCTAACAGTCTGCAGAACGGTGTTAATCATGGGGCATCACTTTTCTTATATGGCTTATATTAACGATGTAAATAGTGTTAACCCCAAGCCACCTCCATATTCATGCCAATAGGCAGGTATAATGAGCTTACTGTATTTTGCCAAGTCATGGTTAGAGTTGCACATCACCACTCAAGACTTTCCAGTGTTATTTAAGAGGACATTTCCTCTACTGGGAAATTGGTAGGGAGAGGGAGTAAATGAAAGTAATGTCTGTTTTCTATTAAGCAGAGCTTCTCTGTAGCAAGGTTAAATACACTGAGATCTGTGTCATGGTCAGGTGGAGTGACAGTCCTAAATTGCTTCACAGTCTGATTACTAAGAGTGTAAAGTTTTCTCTGATGGGTGGGGTGACAACTTGATTGTAATACTTCACACTTCTATGGCACGCTCCATCAGAAGATCTCAAAGCACTTTAAGGTAGGTAAGGTAGATACTGAAACTGAGGCACAGAACATAAGCAAATAGCCCAAAGTCTCTCAGTGGCACAGCTGGGAATAGAATTCAGACTTTCAGATTCCTGTGCTCTGCTTACAGTGGAAGGCAGTATTATCTAGTATCTCATCTCTCAAATCCTGGTGTGTTAAGAATGAAAGCTGACAACAATGAATTGCCCAAAAAAAACCTTTTTCTCTAGCAAAATTTTTTTTACTTTAAGCGATTTGATTTCTCTCAATCACATACTCCTAATTCTATTTGCATGTTCCCTTTTCATTGTCAGACATTGCCAATCTGTTACGTTGCAAATTATATACATGTAGGGGTCACTTGCCCACCACTGAAGTGCAGCCACTTGTGGAGTGTAACGCAACAAACTGTGATCCTCACCCTCGTGCAGCACTGTTGGAAGCTGCAGTTGCTCATATAGTTAGAAAATAGGTAGGCCTTACCACCTACATGGCCAAATTCTGCCTTCATTTATCCCATTGGGATTGCATAGGTATAATGGCAAAACTCAGTCTCTGTAGGCTGCTCTTAGGCAGTGTTGCCCAGTGGCTAGAACACTGGACTGGCGGTCAGGAGACATGGGTTCTATTCCTGGCTCTGCTGAGTGACCCTGGGCTGCTTTCCCGTTTGTGCCTCAGTTTCCCCATCTAAAATGGGGATAATGATCCTTACCTCCCTTTATAAAGTGCTTTGAGAGCTACTCTTGAAAAGCTCTACATAAGAGCTAGATATTATGTTGAGCCACCATGCTTGCTTGAACAACAGAATTTGGAAGTTCAAGATGCTGTCTACAGTTTCTCTCCTAAAGGTTTATGATGCCACAAGGAAACTGCAGGGCACTTCGTGGGAGTTTATTGGTGTCTCATTGCTGCTCCTGTGCCAGGTAAAGCCAAGTACCTGGGAAAGTGAAAGGAGGGGAGCCCATTTCAGCAACAGTATATGAAGAAATGATAGAAGTGACGATGCCAAGGACTTTCCCTGCCATCTATTTCCTGGAACTTCCCAGCTGCTATGAACTCTTGTTACATCTCTGATTGTAATTTTCATTGCTAAGGGTGTCATTTTTAATAGCTTAATTCAAAGCTTCCTCTCGTAAAGGTTGTTTCAGGTAGCCAGGTGTTCTGTGCTGACTTCAGTAGCAACAGCTGCGCTACAGCAAACTGCAAAA